GCTATTTTCAATGACTACTTATTTTTGTCCAGCTTTAACATCGGTATCGATATCGGTTATCGGCTACATGAGTTTTAAAATATCGGCCAAAATCCCAATATCGTGCATCCCTAATAATTATGAAGAAAAATGTACAGATAAAAATAAAGAAGTGTGTAGATATGATAAAAGATGGATTCATATTTTATGAGGTAAACGTTTTTAGCTGCTGTATTTACTTTATCTGCTCTCCTGCCTAAAGCAAACAGAAACAGGAGCAACATCCTGTTGGCCTGCGTGTTCCTGCACCCACCTGGCAGCGGTTTGGGGGGAGGCAGCTTGGGGTTACTGCTGGGTGTGTGAACACTGCAGATCTTAATGAAACCAGCCATGAGCATGATGAGGGCGATGCCCATCAACAGCACAGCCCACCAGTGAGCCTAGAGCAGGAATCCACAAACAAAGACTTTTAATCCTCAGAAACTCATAGACCAACTTTCTAACTATATAGCAGAGATTTTAAACGTACCACAATCCACTCTGCGATGTTCTCGTAGAGTTCTGGGTTAAAGATGGCCTTCTTTAGTCGGGCGAGCGGTCCGTCTGCGTCCACCAGCCGGCACTTCATGAACACGTCGCAGTAACCCCGGAAGTCGTTGCAAGGCGAGCCTGCGGGCAGAGTGGTCACCTTCTTGTTGAAGAAGCGAGCCAGCCGTTCGGATCCGGTGCTGCTGCAAGTGTTTGGGTTCACTGTGGAAACAGGATGGTCATTTTCCCAGAGTTTACATTTTTTATTTGCTTTACTTTAATAAGCATTCCTGCAAATGCACCAGAGTTAGCCAAAAGGCTGTTTTTCCTCTGTTGTCCATGGACAGATCTTAAAATTGTTAAAATTGTTTTGTGAATTGGCGATTTATAAATAAACTGAAATGATTGAATTTACCTAAAAACACAACAGTAAGAATTTTACAGTAAAAAATAAAAAATATAAAAAGAGATAAAAAGAGCTATAACTCTTTAAAACTTGTTTATAAATACAGAAGTAATGTTTGCTAGACTAGAGATTTTTAAAGATTGCATTTTATGTTAGTAAAATAGAATAAAACAATCAAATCAAAATAATTACACACACTCATATATCTCTATATCTA